TTACATCGAATGAATACATGGGTACATCGATCGTCGTCAGTCGGTTTTCGAGATAGACTATCAACTGCGGAACAGAGAAGATGCATTGAAAACGAATACAAAATGTATTTGTATCCTGCATGACATCAACGTGGAGGAAATTTTATATTTCGAATTAATAATCAATTTGGATTTCACTCAATGAAACTATGGTATCGTGTACGTATTACAAATTTATCACCGAGGACACTATTTCTTAGTATATTTAAAAATTGTTTTGGGGAGTATCCTAATGAACAACAACAAATAACGACGAAAGATATAGCTAATTTATTAACTAAAGATGTATTTTAATTTATTGATCAATTATTAATTGGTGGTGTGAGTCTGATTGAAATGTTAAATTTAAAAACAACATTTTCTAATCATAGTATTGATGTAAAAAACGAAGTTACAAAATTATATTTGTCTCAAAGTGATGATAGTAAAAATCGATAACGACAAATCGAAAAAATATGTGAATAGTTACAAATATATCAATATTTTAGTTTCGTATCAACAATTATTGATTGTATAGAAATATTTAAGATAATTGATGATAATAATCACTCAATCGCACAATTAGAAAATCTTAGTAATATTGATAATAAACGTTTAAAACATATAGAGTCAAATGAAACTTCAAAAATTTATATTCAATGGACTAGATAATAGGCAATGACAACTAATTAAAGTAACATTAGAATGTAAATCTGTTGTATAAATATTTAAAACTGCTGAATTATATAGCAGACAAGGACGCTTAAGATTTCGTGAATTTGACAATTTAACTACACAATTTCAATTACAAGAAAAATTTAATTTAATATTAAACGCTCTTATTGTTACTTATACCGTATGTGAACCATTTGTTTTAAAAGCAATAAAATATTGAAGAATGTTTTAAACGTCTATTAAGTTTACATAATATTGATGAAGCAATTAACAAATTACGAATTGTTAATGAAAATATACAATTTAAATATAAATAAGTGAATAATTGATACCGTTTTTATCATTTTATTAGAGACGTTTCGTTATGAACTCATAAAATCACCACTAAGTGCTAGATTACATAACACATTGAAACTGAATAGCAGCCTCACCACGTAACGGTTTCCTTTTATGTCACAGTCGACATACAAAATCTGACAAAAATACAACCGCCAATTTTTAGAGCATGCTCGACTACTTATTGAACGCTGGTTAGAATTTTTGTGTTGCGTTTCTTTAATGAGATACTATAGCAGAAAGTAATGGGTGTCTCTGAGCAAAATCTGTCACTATAGACACACTGTGTGTTCAAATACTTACGTATGATTCTGTTGTTGTTATATTTGTTTTCTTTTTACGTATTATATCAAAAGTAACAATGTTAACGTATATTTTGAACTATATTTGGCTTTATTTTTCTCTTGCTATCTTTATGTAGAGAAGAAATCAAATATGGGGTCACTGCATGTGTCATTCCGTGACGAAATAGCGGTTGAGGTTTAATTTTTCCCTGGCTTCTAGAGCCGTGTAAAAGAAAATATCTGATCTAATGCTAACTTTTGATGATCTATCTAATATAATAATTAGTTTATGAGCGGAGCGTTTCCTTTATTGAAAACAGACCGTCACGGAATGACAAAGTCATAACCGAACTCTTTTGCAAAAGAAATGCTTTTGCCCAAAAGAATTTATGATTGATTTAGTTTGCGGTAGAAATTATGTGCTAATGTATAGACTTCTTTCGATTGCTTTTATAACTGGAAATCTGATGGCTGTAGTTGTTGAAATTCTTATTTATTTCATTCAACGCTTTCAACGTTTTCAATTTCTTTTGACTTATCTAGTGTGAAAAAAAACATTATTTTTGTTGTTAGAATAAAAATATGTATATAGAATAATCAGTACTGAATGAAATAAGTTGTAGAACACACTGATGTCAAGTTTTCAAGTTAACTGTGTTTAAAACACGAAACAGAAACTCGATCATTCGAAGCATGGAAAAATAATGTCATTCCGTGACGATAGTATTTCGTCTATATTTCGAAAACGAAACTAAGATTTGAAATTCTATTTTTTTTCCACAGACAACCCAAAGTCTAGGCTATAATTTTTCTATAGATCACATTTCTTCAAACTGTAAGAATGAGCTGAGTTTTGAACATCTTTACACAGCACCGAAAGCAGCATTCCATTTTCTGTCATTTCATGACGGACGATATTTTTTCTATGAAAAATTATCCATACCACGAAGTAAAATAAAACTTTAGGATATTGTAGAGCTTGATGACCTAGATACGTGCAGAAAGTTTGAACTACCCAGCTGTCACCGTTACAAAGAAAACTAGATTGAAAGAAGAAAAAGTGTCATTCCGTGACGTTTGGTCAAGCTGATAGTAAACTAATTACTACCACAGCAATAACAACAACCACAACAAATACCAGTGTAAATGAAAATCAGCAATACTTGATTTCATCAGATTCTCGTATTAAAATATTACCAGGATTATTACAACAAAACAATGATACAGACACTGATAGATGGTGTAAACTGTTAAATATATTCAATAAACAATTACCATTATCATCTCAAATTTTATGGGGTTCAGCTGCAACAGACGGTGCCATCACGCTATACTTTTAAAAGAACAAGATGAATTATCGAAACAAACAGAGCCGCATGCTGAAGTATTTTATATGTCGAAAGAGCTTTGCTGTCGAAAAGGTATGAGGCAATGGACTAATTCCCAAGTGATCTATCCAAATTTAATACGTTCACGAATTAATGATAGTTATCGTCAAATGAATACTACACGGCCACAGATTAGAATTTTATTGGGCAAAGCCGGAACTGGTATGTCAATTATCTTTGTTATTTCTCGTTTTCTTCAAATCATCAAAGTTGCCAGACAGATTAGACTACCTCCGCCGTAAAATCCTAACCAGTGTGTATAACTTTACGAAGGAACTCTACAGCCATTCGAGCTGTTACTTTTCGTGCAATCAAAAAGTTGTATCGTTGCTGAGATATTGAAATTTTACGAAAAGCCCTGAAAAACGTGGATTTCGCCAAGAAGAGGAGCACGTGGTCGATCATGCTAAATCGGATGGCAACATTTATTTTATTTTACTTTATGTTACTCTTCCTCTTTCAAGGCTACTCGAAGGCACTGAGTGTCAGTCCTGGGGCTCCATGGAAATCAGCCATCACATCCAGATCACTCAAAATCAAGTCTCGCTTGGCTTCCAGTTTGAAGCGGACACTTTAGGCTATTTACTCATAAAAAACCAATATCTTGTTACTTTATCGTTTAGAGTTACGAAACGGTTTTCTAAAGATCTCCTAGAAAACCGGTAATTGAGAAATACTTTCAACTTTGTTTTAGTTATAAAAAGAAGCTTAAAGACTTGGCTATCGAATCGCAAAAACCACAAGTTCCTATCGCCTTTCGTTCTTGAGTTATTCAAAAATCACTGACTGGTATATAAAATCCATCAGAAGAGAACC